CTCCCGCCGAATGGGCAATGATGAGGAAATACTATACCGAGGAAAAGAAAGCTGAGGTGAAAGGCGGTGGCAAAAAGAAGAAAGAAACCAGCCGAAGCGCAGACACTACAAATGCCCGGTGCCAAGAGAATTCGGGCTATGCTTCGGAACCGATGGGGTGGAGTCGATTGGCAGCAATTGGGGATTGCGAAAGAACGTGTCAAAGATCAAGAACCAAACATTTGGCTGAGCTCGATTGGGTAAGAATGTGAATCCGGTCGACGGAGTGGTTGTTCTCATGGATTCCAAGAAATCCCAAGATGTCTTGAGACAGAGCGTTCAGCTTGGAAAGAATATGGATGCCTGGTGGTGATATGCGCCTGGAAGTCCAAATTGGACAGAAACGTTTCTACCCGTCATGAAAACGAGGCTGAACCAGTATCGGGACCAGATCCTATGGATGGTACGTCGGATTTTACCTGGTATGAATGGGAGGAATCTGCTGAGGTGGTTTCAGGGAAGGTACCACTAGCAGCAGGAGAAGGCGACGCCAGAATGTACCCATCGATGCCATGCGTGACTTCTGAGCTAATACAGAGAGAAGGCCGTGAAAGTTGTTCGATTCTTCGACGCACTGGTGTCTAGGCCGGCTGGTCGAAAAGAGATGTTGACCAACCCTGATGCTCTGGCATCAATGAAGAAAGAATGGTCGGGATTAATCGACCAGGGCGTCTTCGACCTTGATGCGGTACGGGAATACGACGCCGTAGCCAAGGAGGCAAAAGCGAAAGGAGGAGATACACATAGCCCGTGCGCATGGTATATGCGTTGAGAGACACTCACAAGTACCTGTTGGCGATCCTAAGAGGAAGTTCAAAGGTAGGGGCGTGTTGATGTGAAACCAGGTGAAGAATCAAAGCTTTGAGGCTGCGATGTTTCAAGACTTGGGGAACTCTCCAGCTTCGTTCGAAGCGTCGCGTTGGGCGGATTTCTTGGGTTGTCATGATGGTTGGGACGCACAGATGGCCGATGCTGTGCAGGCATACATTCAGGCCGGCCACACTGCAAGGTACGCCATGTTGAAAAAGGCCACCTGAGGCTGTGCCAAGTGAGTGTAATTGGGGTAGGTACAGGAGGCCCGTGGTTCCCTTGAGGAAGGCTCTGTACGGACATCCCGATGCCGGACTATTTTGGGAGCAGCACTGTGATGAGTCAGCGCGTGCCGTTGGCTTTGAACCCATGGGTGAAGAATGGCCGTCAGTGTACATTCATGAAATGCTCCAACTTGTCCTGGTTGTGTATGTTGATGACTTCAAAATGGCGGGGCCTCAAAAGAACCTTGCCCAGCCGAGACTGGACTTGACATGTACCTTGGCTGTAATCAGAGCAAGGGAACTGTAACTGTCACCCTCGGGAATGGGCACCGTGTCACAACGGTGACCTACGACATGGAACAGTTCCTGCGTTCCTGTGTTGACCGCTATCTTGAGGTTGCGGGCGACGTCAAGTTGAATAAGGTTGTTACCCCTGGGATTCATGAAGAAACAAAAGATCACGTCTCGCGGAAGCCTGTCAAAGAAGGTCCGTCAGTCGTGTGTAATTGGTGTAACAATCTTGTGCCCACCGACGGTTCAGGCCTAGAGCCGGACCAGCGGGAAGGGACTCCTGAGTTGGCCATGAAGGAGCCCGTGCGTGGACACCTTGCTCCGCACGCCTAGTGTTCTGATGAAACTGCTGTACGGCGCGCGGATTGCTCGCTTTGATTTGTTGCGGCAAGTGAATCGCTTGGCACGAAACGTGCACAAGTGGACAGACTCCGATGATCGGGGCTTACACCATTTGATGTGTTATGTGCATCACACAAAACATTGGCGCATGGTCGGATGGGTTGGTGATCCCATGGATGACGTGCGCCTGGCCTTGTATGCAGACGCCGGTTTTGCAGGTTGTGTTGAATCGTTGCGTTCCACTTCCGGCGGGCATTTGAATTTACAAGGGCCCAATACTCGGTTTCCGTTGTTCGGCAGTTCGAAGCGTCAAGGTTGTGTTAGTCACTCGAATTCTGAGGCCGAAATTGTCGCGGCTGACGTTGCCATGAGAGCTATGGGCTTGCCTGCAGTTGTTACAACGGATTCTCAAGAAGTCACCGAACTTTGTGTTCTATGACGATAGCAAGGCCATGATCGGGGTTGTGCGGTCGGGGAGAAACCCTACCATGCGCCACCTTGAGAGGAGCCGTGGCGTTTGCATTTCGTGGACGCATGAGATTTTCACGCGTGATTACATGTATGTGGTGTATGAAGTCGCCGTTGCAAACCTGAGGGCCTGCTAGGGTCAAGCCTAGCAGGACAACCGCTGTGCGGCTCTGCAAGTGGCACGACGACCCACACCCTTGGCGCAGCCAATGTAGGATTACCCTAAAGCCTGCACCATTTGCTTACGGAGGTCGCTTCGTGCACTGTTGATAACTTTTGCATACGGGTAATAGCGGGGACCTGCCCCGGCTGGGGGGGGGGTTGCGCGCCACGCGAAAGGACTTTTTGTAAGTCGCTTCTTGCGCTGCTGATAACTTTTGCATAGCGGGGACCTGCCCCGGCTGGGGGGGGTACACGCAAAGCGCAAGGAGCCTTGTAGATGCTTTCTTGCACTGTTAATAACTTTTGCATACGGGTAATACGGGGGCCCTGCCCTGGCTGGTGGACCCTTGTACGACTGGGGCCAAGCGAGGTTCCTTGTTTCAGACAACGGGGCGACGCGTCGCGCTGAGCGCGACGACCCCTGCGGGCAGCGCTTGCTGGTTTGGCTATGATGGAGGAACTACAAGAACACACGGGCCATCGGAGGCACGCCGAGAGAATTTGCTGAGATCATTCCCCAAGTGGGTGAACACAAGCCCAGCGTGGATTCTCAGCGACGCCGGACCGCGTTTCGCTTTCGCTTCGGACGCAGGATGCGTCAACATCTTCACTTCGGCAGTGGCGCGGCTACTTCGGGAAGAGCCAGAACCACAGGTCGGACAGGCTTTTGCAGCAACACGATTGGACCATCGGCCTACTCCCCATTTCAGTAGACAATGGGAGCGGCATGCTCTCAAGAAAAAACAGTCTACCCGCAGGACTTGCACCTCGGCAAGCGTTCGGTGGACTACTACGACTTCGGGAAAAAGCCCGGAAGCTGGCGAGATTGAACCACGCCACAGGGAGGGCTCCCACCTCATAAAGAACAGGGCCGTTAATCATGTTGTGGAGGCAAGGATGAGGCTCGGGAGCCAGTCAGAGTCCTTCACCAGGAGGGACCCAAGACGGCCTGCGCGGCTCTTATTGCTGAAGCGTCTCTTATTTTCAATGAAGCTCTTATTTCCATTCAATGAAGCCCTTATTTCCAAACTTGCCGAAACGTGCCGGCAGGGGGGGCGCGGCAGCTTGCGCCGCAGAGCAAGGCGTGCCAGAATTGCGGCGCGAACAAAGACCCCGGCCAGTATTTCGAGAGATTTCTTGAGCGCTGCGCGGCCTAACTGCAGCCCCCGAGATTCGTCTTGAGCATGTTGCAGTCGCGCAGCAGGCAGCTGTACGGACTGTGTCTCAAATCTGTAGCTGGCCTTTGGTCCACTTCACTTGGTCCGCTTGCTCTACTCCATTTGATCGACGTGAGTTTGCCAGGCAAGTAAGTGGCCGTAGGCACTTGGTCCAGGTCCACTTGGTCCATTTGGTCCACTTGCCCACTTAGCCTATGGGTCAGCTTGCTGGGCAAGTGGACAAGTGGCCGTTGCCACTTGGTCCACCTGCCCCAGGCCACTTGGTCCGGCCAAGTGACTGCCACTTGCTCCACTTGGCCACTTGGCCCACTTGGCCCACTTGACCACTTGGTCCACTTGCTTGGGGCAGCAAGTGTCCGTGGCCACTTGGTCCACTTGCTCGGAGAGCAAGTGGGCAAGTGGCTGTGGCCACTTGGTCCACTTGGCCACTTGGTCCACTTGCTCCACTTGGTTTGCTTGGTCCACTTGCCCACTTGACTTGGCTTGTCCGCTTGTCCGCCTGGACCACTGGCCCCCCGAGCAAGTGGGCGAAGTGGACAAGTGGACAAGATGGCCTCGGCGATTACTGCCCCGGATTCTGTGCACCCTGTACTTTTGTATTATTTCTCTTTTTCGCGCTCTATCATTGTCGCATATGCATATTTAATATCATTGTCCAATTTCTCTTCACCAGTGCTCATATATAAGAGGTATATATTGTTATTTGTGAAATATTTGGACTCAACCCATTAGACATTTCAGTAGCAGGGTTTATTTCTGTCACACCTTGTCCTGTCCAATTGCTGAAACTGTGTTTATCTAATAAATTGTTGCTTTCCATTTCTCCAGTTATCGCCACGTCATCAATCATTGCTATAGGGTCTCCACGATTTCTGAAACGTAAGTGTCGGTTGATTAATTCCTGATACAAAAGGTGATGAATAAACCGTAGTCGCATATCTGTTTCCGTGTCTGTTGTTGCTTTCTGGAACAACGGATGAGCCGAGGGAATGCCCTACCAAACGAGTGATATCCGGATTTTCTTTGTGCTTCCATTGCGTCTTTATATCTTTCGCTTAATTGAACATTATGAGTACTCCTTCACCCCCCAACGCTAGTGCGTTACCGTCCTTCAATCCAAAGTCAGGGAGTACTGCGCCACCCAATACTGCGCACGCAGTAGCCTTTTGAAGCATTTGCGCGCGATCGATGCCAACAAGAGGCTCCCGCCACACTTGCAAGAAGCCATGTTGATTCGCACGCTCGCCCCTCGCCTGCCCACGGGGCATCTCCATGTTGCATGAAGTCGCATTGAGTTCACACGAATCACATGAGACAGGGATGTGTTGGCAGGCTGGAACTTGCTGATTTCCCAGACCGAGACGGAGGAACGCGGAGGCCAGCAACTTTCAACCTGCTTTCTTTGCTTCCCTTGCAAGACGTCGAAGCCGCTCAAGAACACCCAGCGCTTCTGAACTGGCAAGTTGTTGTGATTTTGTGGTAGCGTAAGCATTGTCAGCCCAAGCCCAGTGGGGCCCCAGGCCTCTGTTGGAGCGATGGCTGCTCATGGCAAGGCCGTCTCGCTCCTCACAGTCACGAATCGCGACGAACAGTTCATGAACCTTGCCATCACCCAGGCCGAGAAACAGTCCTACTTGCTTAAGCCCCATAATGGTCGCCTGCAGCACGTGATCATCCACAACATCGCCTCCAGCCAGGAGAAGGATCCATGGTACGAACGTACCAAGGACCGCAACAAGGGAAAACCCTGCCACCCGCAATCCTGCTTGAGGTCTGCAATTAGCCGACCAGACCCCCAGCAGAGTGCTGCCATCAAGAAGCATTCTACGCGTGTGCTATACGGTTTGTGTAGACAAACTCTGGGAGATGTAATGTTATCAAGGAAGTTTAACAAGAAGCTTCCGTTGTACTGGAACTAATTGAGCTAGCTGCTTTGGCACGTAGCCATGACAGATAGCTTGACACATAGATAGGTTTCCAATATGGTTAGCGTGACAGATAGATAGCTTTGACATGGGTAGCTTGGCGGATAGGTGGGATGTGCGCGAAAAAAGCTATGAACAATGCTGAAGTCAGGAGAGCTGGGGGATAGCAAGATGCAGAAACGTTGGCTCTGTGCGTGAGCGCAAATCAGCTCGGTTGCGACGTCTGTGCGGAGGCGGGTGCTGAACGGGTTCGGTCTCGGAACAGTCCCGGAGACGGGCCCCATTGGCACGGCCGCGCGAAGGTTTCGCAAGGATTGAATTGCGTGGCAGGCGCAGCGCTTTCAAAAGGTCAAGCGCAGATTTCGTGGCAGGCGCAGCACTTTTGCAAGGTCGGGCGCAGATTTCGTGGCAGGCAGAGCAGTTTCTTTCGCAAGGTGAAGTACAGATTTCCTGGCAGGCGCAGCACTTTCGCAAGGTCAAGTACAGATGTCGTGGCAGGCGCACCACTTTCGCAAGGTTTATGTACAGATAGAGAGATAGGTACAGATAGAGAGATAGATAGATAGATAGATAGATAGATAGATATAGATATAGATAGATAGATAGGTGGAGAGAGAGATAGACTAGATAGACAAATAGATAGATAGGTAAAGAGAGGTAGACAGAGAGACAGATAGATAGAGACAGAGATAGATAGATAAATAGACAGATAGACGAATAGACAGATGGGTAGACAGAGAGATAGATAGATAGAAAGTAGATAGATAGATCGATGGATAGGTAGAATTGGAACAAATAGATAGTTAGATAAACATAGAGAGAGACACAGACAAAGAGAGAGAGAGAGAGATAGCGATAGATAGGCAAATAGATCAATAGACAGAGAGGAGAGAGACAGATAGACAGAAAGGCAAGGGATAGAGATAGATAGATAGATAGATAGATAGATAGGGGGAGACATAGGTAGATATGTAGATAAATAGATAGATAGAACGATAGAGAGATCAATATGTAAGTAAAAAGAAAGACAGACAGAGAGAGAGAGAGAGAGAGAGAAAACAAGAAAGAAAGAAAGAAAGAACGAAAGAAAAACAGAAAACAGAAAAGAAGGAAAGGAAGAAAAGCAAGAAGAAGACAAAAAGAGTCAAGAAAGGAAAGAGAAAGAGAACTATAGTTCCCGAAAGCATGGCGAAGGCTTCTTCCGCTGGGTTCACTTGAGTTGTTCTCATGAGAGTCATTACAAGGTGTCATTGCAAGGAATCATCATCATGAAAGTCAATGCAAGGAGTCATTGCAAGGAATCATCATCATGAAAGTCAATGCAAGGAGTGCAAGGAGTCATTGCAAGGAGTCATTGCAAGGAGTCATTGCAAGGAGTCATTGCAAGGAGTCATTGCAAGGAGTCATTGCAAGGAGTCATTGCAAGGAGTCATTGCAAGGAGTCATTGCAAGGAGTCATTGCAAAGAGTTGCAAGGAGTCATTGCAAGGAGTCATTGCAAGGAGTCATTGCAAGGAGTCATTGCAAGGAGTCATTGCAAAGAGTCATTGCAAGGAGTCATTGCAAGGAGTCATTGCAAGGAGTCATTGCAAGGAGTCATTGCAAGGAGTCATTGCAAGGAGTCATTGCAAGGAGTCATTGCAAGGAGTCATTGCAAGGAGTCATTGCAAGGAGTCATTGCAAGGAGTCATTGCAAGGAGTCATTGCAAGGAGTCATTGCAAGGAGTCATGAGAGTCATTGCGAGCTGCAAGGAGCCAAATGGAGTCAAGTGCAAGTTGCAAGTGCAAGGAGTCAAGTGCAAGTTGCAAGTGCAGGAGTCAAGTGCAAGTTGCAAGTGCAAGAGGAGTCAAGTGCAAGTTGCAAGTGCAAGGAGCAAGTGCAATTGATTTGCGAGGAGTTAAAATCTCTTCTTAGGGCGGCGGGGTAGTGCCGACGACACTACACGAAAATCGACCCTCTGCGGGGATCGGCGTGGTCGAGGTGCAAAAACCCAGGAGTGCAATTTCTTGCGAGGGCGGCGCGGGTAGTGCCGACGACACTACACGAAAATCGACCCTCTGCGGGGATCGGCGTGGTCGAGGTGCAAAAACCCATGGTTTTTTGCGATTTCTAAGTTCCCGCGCGACCCTCTGCGGGGATCGGCGTGGTCGAGGTGCAAAAACCCATGTTTTTTGCGATTTCTGCGGTGCTCGCGCGACCCTCTGCGGGGATCGGCGTGGTCGAGGTGCAAAAACCCATGGTTTTTTGCGATTTCTGCGGTGCTCGCGCGACCCTCTGCGGGGATCGGCGTGGTCGAGGTGCAAAAACTCGAGGTTTTTTGCGATTTCTAAAGTTCCCGCGCGACCCTCTGCGGGGATCGGCGTGGTCGAGGTGCAAAAACTCGAGGTTTTTTGCGATTTCTGCGGTGCTCGCGCGACCCTGCGGGAATCGCGTGGTCGAGGTGCAAAAACTCAAGGTTTTTTGCGATTTCTGCGGTGCCCGCGCAACGCTCTGCGGGGATCGGCGTGGTCGAGGTGCAAAAACTCGAGGTTTTTTGCGACTTTTGTTGTTCGAACTGGTCCTCGGGAGTTGTCTCGTGGTTCGCGCGCCTGCTCCCGGAACCGGCGGGTCGCGGGTTCGATTCCTCCCTGGTCCGCGGGCGGGCGTCGCAAGATGCAACTTGCATTTTAAAGCAACTTGCGCAGAGCAACTTGCGCAGAGCAAGTTGCACAGACCAACTTGCGCAGACCAACTTGCACCGACCAGTTTGCGCAGAGCGCCTTGCCTAGAGCAACTTGCGCAGAGCAACTTACGCAGAGCAACTTGCACAGAGCAACTTGCACAGAGCAGCTTGCACAGAGCAACTTGCAGGGAGCGCAATTTGCACAGAGCAACTTGCAGGGAGCCACTTGCAGGGACCAACTTGCCGGAGCAACTTGCGCGGAGCAACTTGCGCAGAGCAACTTGCACAGACCAACTTGCACCGACCAGTTTGCGCAGAGCACCTTGCCTGGTGCTGTCTCGCGCGCTTCACAAATGCTTCGTGGAGGGAAAAGAGCGCATCCTGCAGCGTTGGGCCGACCTCGCTTGCGATGTTATGCTTTCGGGCCAGCCGTGGTCTAGTTTTTATATTTTTGAAGCTTCCGCCCCCCGGCTCTGCCGGACTTTACTGGTATATCTATATATATATATATATATACATGTATAGTTTGTGCGGTTTGTGGCGTGACTGGGGTTGCGTCTTTGCAGTCGGGCGTCAGGATTCAATGGTGCGGGTGAAAGAAAGCATGAAAGGGCTGTTGTTGGCAAAGCAAGCGGCTGTTCTGGGGCAAGTCAGACTCTTGGAAGAATGCCAGGCAAAACACCAAATACACACCAACTTGAAACGGCAGAAATAGCAACATAAATATGTGTTATGTGTCAAGGTTTGGCTGCGCGGAAATCTCACACATGTGCCTGTGCGGAGGCCTACCTCGCGTCGTGCAGCCATAAATCTCCGGAAGACTGGGGGGGCAAGAACTTCGAGGTCACAGCCCAATGCATCATCAGGGAGGAGAACCAGACTTTGGGAGCACTGCGTAACATGGGACTTTTTTTGTGTACGGGCGAGTTCGTGGTGGTGTGGGATGATGACGACCTGTATGATCAAAATCGTGTGGCAGAGCAGGTGACTGCAATCAGAGAAGCCAAGGAAACCAATCCCTGCATCGAGGCAAGCACGTACAGCACCGTCCTTGTCAATGAGACAGACGAGAAGGGACTGTCCGAGGACAGGGAGCCTCGACGCTACAGGCTGCACACGCGAGATTCAGGTTGGGAGATGACTCTATGCTGCCGCAAAGACGCTATGCCCCAGTATGCCAACAAGAACGTTAGTGAGGACACCCCAGTACTGGTGGAGCTCTTGAACACGAACAAACTACATGTCATCGTTCCCAAAACTCCACAAGAGGAGCGCTACATCTATATGCGGCAAGGGGGCAATGCCCAGAATGCCCAGAATGTCATGGCAAACAGCCCTACCGAGCAGAACTGGTGGCAGCAAACGCTGTTAAAACCCTCTAGGCCCCGTGCCGAAATTGGGTAGCTGTTCTGAGGTCCTTGTTGGTGTTGCTTCCCAAGTTCCATTGATCGCCATTTTGGCTCAAGACACAATTGAGGTTCAAGATCTGATGTGTGACTGCATACATACGTGATCGGCATTGAGAGCGAAAACACTTCGCTTGCGCTGCATTTGTCAGGACTACTGTTGTAACTATCATTCCTTCTCCCTTACAACGTTTACACGGGTTCGGCTATAACGGCATCGTCCGTATACACCTTTCTACGTGGTTGGTATTACAGCTTGAGGGTTCGGTGCATAGCGTCCCACGGGACGTCACCTTGCCGTCTCTTGACAGGTTATCAGCCGTAACTACAAGCTCTACACTGGACTGGGAGACAGCTGGATTATTGCGGGTACAGGGACAATAAAGGAACGATAACCTACACAGTACAATGGCGTCTTCGGCGAGCCCAAGTACTGCAACTTTTGGGAACAGCAGCTCAGAGGGATCCAATGGATTGATGGCTCTTCCTGCGGTGATGGATATGGTTGCAGATTCACAGGATGAACCTGGGAGCGGAGGTTCCGCGCTATTCAGCGACATATCTACTCCCACAAGATCATGGAAGCAGATCGATGTTCATCAGGAGTCGAAGAAAAGAGAATCCCCACCGAGAAGATCATCATCTTCGCCTGCGACACCACGGACGTCGCAGAAGGGCGTGAGATCGACATCGAAGGGTGGGAGGTCAAAATCACCCACCAGTGCAGATTTTCG